TGTTTCAAGTGTCAACCAAAAAACGAATTTTTTTTTTTATATAAAATCAATTTACAAATATTAAAATTATTTTAAATATTTTAATTACGTCGAAACAAACGAAATTTAAAATATAAATTTAATTCCTCGAAATTAGATTTTCATTAAAAAAAATGGGCTTCCAATTTATACACTTTTCTATTTCCTATTTCTTCTTCCATTAATAAGTGCAGAGATTTGTAATCCAATTACATCCTAGAGTAATGAATTATGATGGGTTGGACCAAAGAGAAAGTTGTGAAACCATTTTTCAGTTTTTAAGGAAAATGATTTTGAAAACAAAATCATACCAATGGGAGATGAGGAAGAGGCAGCCAACTTTTTTTTTATTTGAATTCGATAATACAAATTCACTAATATGGGAAAAATGAAAGTATCACCCACCTGACGTTAGGTCCTTGTCACATGGGCCCAAGAGAAAGAAAAGTGTAACTGCAAATATCTAGCCTAATTCTCGCATGATGTAATGGTGTCATTATATTCAACATTTTACTATGAAATTTAAATCCATCTAGGCCATGTAAACAAGAGCACCTTAAATATCACTTTGGATTGTTTTAGAAAGTCAGTTAAAAGTTGGCTATTTAATTTTTTTTAACTTTATTTAAAAAAATATGTAAAAAAGTATGAGTAAAGATTTTTTCCTTAGATTCTCTTCTTAGCTCCTTACTTGATGGGTCATTGGGTCCACTTTTGAATCCAATTTCGATAATTCAAACCGTTCACATTTTAAAATTTATCATGTATATTATCCCTGTAAAAAAATCAAGTTGATCAGATATTGGAAGAATTAAAAATCGTTTATTAAAAAAAACTTAATAAACAATTTTATTGTTTAATAAAACTTTAAGTTCACGTGATTTTCGATATCCAATCGACTTAATTTTTTACAGATATGATATACATGATAAAATTTAAAATGTGAACAGTTCAAATTATCGAAATTGAGTCCAAAAATAGGCCAAATAACCTACCAAATAGCGAGCCAAGAGAGAATTTTTGCTCAAAAAATAAAAAAATAATGTGACACAAAATAAATTAAAAGTCAAAAAGTGACACATATCTATTTTGTAACACTTATCTTTATCCTCAAAATTAGAATACTTTTCAATAAACAAGATTTGAATGGCTTATTAATTAAACCTTATCCTTATTACCTCGAAATTTGTAGTTTTTAATTTTAAATTTTATTGATGCAATGGTGTCATTATATTCAACATTTTACTATGAAATTTAAATCCATCTAGGCCACGTAAGCAAGAGCACCTTAAAGATCACTTTGGGTTGTTTTGAGAAAGTAAGTTAAAAGCTGATTATTTAATTTTCTTAAATTTTATTTTAAAAAATACGTGAAAAAATTAGGAGTAAGGATTCTCTCCCTGGATTTTTTTTTCTTGGCTCCCTATTCTGTGGGTCATTAAGTTCACTTTTAGACCTAATTTTGATGATTCAAACTGTTTATATTTTAAAATTTATCATGTATATTATACTTGTAAAAAATGAAGTTGATCAGATATTGAAAGAATTAAAAATTATTTATTAAAAAAAATTTAATAAACAGTTTTATTGTTTAATAAAAATTTTAGTTCACGTGATTTTCGATATTCGATCGATATGATATACATGACAAATTCTAAAATGTGAGCAGTTCAGATTATTAAAATTGAGCCAAAAAATGGGCCCAATAACCCACCAAATAGGGAGCCAAGAGAGAATCTTTGCTCAAAAAATAAAAAGATAATATGACACAAATAAGTTAAAAGTCAAAAGGTGACACATATCTATTTTTGTAACAATTATCTTTATCCTCAAAATTAGAGTACTTTTCAATTAGGGGTGAGCATGGTCCGCATTGGATTGAATTGGGGTAAAACTAGAACCAATTCGTTATTTACAGTTCCTGAAAAATTGGAACCAATCCAATCCGTTTAAATCATGGAACCAATCCGAACCAATCCATTTAAATACGGAGTGGATCGGTTCAAGACCACGGATTCACATAATTAAATAACAAATATATATATATAAAATATATATATAACACTTGAATTTCATAAAAATATAAACATAGCGCTATATTAGTTCCATAATAGCAACATGTTTTTCTATAATAACGACATACTGTTCTAGAATTTAAACAACCATAAGAAAACTGGTTTCACCATAAGTATTTAGACCATTGCAAATTAAAACTTAAAACTAACAAACAAAAGTAATAAAAGAAGATATTATACGATTTTAGGTTTGAGTTTAGATTTTACATAGAATAAGAGAAGATACTATGGGGGAGGATGTATAATAAAAATATAGACTATTTGTATACGGTCCGGATCGGTTTCAATTCGAAACCGTGGGATTCAATCCGGAACCAATCTGTGAACTACGGATTTTTAATTCTTCAATCCGGAACCGAACCGCGGATTCAAAAACCAATCCAAACCTATCGGATTGGACTGGACTGAATCGGATTACGGATTTCACGAATTCCTTACTCAGCCCTATTTTCAATAAACAAGATTTGAATGACTTATTAATTAAACCTTATCTTTATTGCCTCGAAATTTGTGATTTTTAATTTTTAATTTTATTAAGAGTAATATTATATAAACAGAATTTCCATACCAAAAAAAAAAAGAAGTGACCGTTTATGGTTTTCGTATTTCTGCCCAAAATATTTTTCTATTTTCTATTTTGAAGCTTTAGAAAAAGATTGAACAACAAAAGTCTTTATTAGAATCAGATCTACTAAAAATGATAATTTTTTAAACTTTCCTTCTTTGTCATGCCAATGTTAAGATATGAAATAAAATTAGAGAGTCGTTATTCCTACTCCACTTATTTCAAATACACTTTATTTTTTGTCAATTAATATCATTATAATTTTGATTTTTTCATAGAATATATTTTTTGTGAAAGGATATTAATATAAACTATATATAATAAAGAGTAAAGAAGGAAGTGTATTTGAAATAAAATGAAGTGAGAATGGTGGCTCTCTAAAATTATGGAGTAAAAAATAAATAAAAAACGTGAATTAAAATGTGCCCAAAATGTAAAGTTTGTAAATTTAGTGGATTGAAAACTAAATCTAAAATCAATTTGATTCACACACTATATTTTTTGAATATTTATATTTTACACTTCAATTATTATTAAATTTTATTTTTATTTTTTTAATTTTAAAATTATACATTTAAACTTTTGAACTGCAAAAAAATTGTTGAAATACCTATTTGTGAAGAGGTGAAAGTTTGGGTTTAGTTTTCTCATTTCCAACTATTTTTTCAACTCAATATTTGTAAATGTTAAATATTTAAAAAACTACATTAATAAAACAGTTTGGATGATCCACATCACTAAAATTTTAAGTATACACCTGTATAACTAACTTTTGCAAATTTTATGACATAACATTTTTTTAATAATTTTTCTTGTACCACTTTATACATTTAAACTTTTGAACTGCAAAAAAATTGTTGAAATACCTATTTGTGAAGAGGTGAAAGTTTGGGTTTAGTTTTCTCATTTCCAACTATTTTTTCAACTCAATATTTGCAAATGTTAAATATTTAAAAAACTACATTAATAAAACAGTTTGGATGATCCACATCACTAAAATTTGAAAAATGTTTGGGAGCACTAATTAATGCTCCCACTAATTAGGTGGCAGTGGGTCCCGTTATTAATGATGTGATGTTTTGGTCTTGAAGTTGTATTTTTTTTTTTTTTTATTTTTTTAATACATTAGTGCTATTAATGATGATATTTTTAGTGGAATGAATCATTGTTGCTAAAATTTTAAGTATACACCTGTATAACTAACTTTTGCAAATTTTATGACATAACATTTTTTAAATAATTTTTCTTGTACCACTAGTGTTGGTGAAAAAGTATCCTTCTTTTACACAAGTGTGCAAAGAGAATTGTTTGGAACCCTAATTTGATTTTTGTGTGTAGAATTCACTCATATATGTATGAGACTCACATTAATAAATGGTTGAAATGAGAATGAAGGTTGTGGGGGTCATGTATGTGTGAAAGTCTCTATCACAATTGGTGTGCAAATATTATGACATAACATTTTTTTAATAATTTTTCTTGTACCACTGGGATGGTGGTAGAGTGGAAAAATAGCTTTCTTTTTACACAAGTGAGCCAGATTGGATTTTTCAAGTGCTCGACTATTAGTCTATTTTTCCAATGACGAAATTGATTGTGTTGTACTTTGATTGTAACTACCTCTTATACTAAGAGTTGGTATATTTCTCTCTTATTTCGGTGTTGCGAAATTTAGTCTATATACCGACGCTTAAAAGATTACAATGATACCAAATCAATAAGCAATCTATTTTGGATGATATTTTTTTTCTTCTTGATTTTGTTGTATAAATTGATTGCATAGTGGGGACCAAACGAAAGCCAACCATGTTAAAAACTTACATTTTATATTCATAAATGTATTTATAATAATGTAATAAAAGTGATAAATCTTATATAATTAAATGCATAATTAATAAAAAAATTGACACTTATTAAATTATATCATCATGAGTTAAATTGGAAAAAAAATTTAATACCATGCTTGGTTAAAGAATTATTAAACAAAACAAAAAATATGTAAAATTAAATAAAATATAAATATATTTTATTTATATTTTAATTACAATTTTTTTCTTTTTTCTTTTCAAATTCTTTCCGAAACTTTTCAACCAAATACAAGTTGTCAAAAATTTTGCAACGAATTGTCAGGTCTAAAACCATTGGTCCGATGCTTTCACACACAAACGCACGCAGTACTGTACTACAAAGGCCGAGAGAGACAGAGAGAAACGTTGGTTGACTAGCCAGCCGTCAAGGAAGAACACGTGGAAAAATCACAGTGGTCATCCCCACAACACTCCCACCTCATCCATTTTCTAACCCCCAACTCTCTCTCTATATATACCCCTATACACAGATCAACTCTTTTCATCTCTCTCTTCATTACACGTTTTGTTCGCTTCTTATCCAATCCAACCATACGAGAAGACATTAACACCCATTCTCTGTCTCTCTCTCTCTACCAAGTTATGGCAGGGGGAGGAATTTCGGCCGGAGGAGGAGGAACACAGTTCGAGGCGAAGATCACCCCCATAGTCATCATCTCTTGCATTATGGCCGCCACCGGAGGTCTCATGTTCGGTTACGACGTCGGCGTTTCAGGTTCCTACCTACTACTTACATTTCATACCACTTTTATTACATTTAGAATGATTTAAATAAATATATTTTTTAATTTCAAAAAAAAATGTGTGAAAAAAATAAAAATGTGATTTAATCCAAATAATTATACTTATACACTTACATCTATCATGCCAAACAACTCCTAAATCTATGTATTTTGTTTTTATCATTATTATTTCTTCATTGTCACCACCTATATGTTTTTTTATGTATTTATGTATCTCTATACACTGTTTGTTGATGTCCCTCTTGGTAGAATTTCTTCTCTATTCATCAATAAGGTTGTATGGATTTGGACATGGATTTGAAAAGGAAAAAAAAAAAAAGGAAAAAAATGCGTGATATGTCATATTTCACCCTCATTTTTTCATTCTTTTTTCAGATTTCTACCCAAATCGATAAATCATGAATCAGATATAACATAAGTGAGATCAATGAGATTTCTAATTCTGTACATTTGTTTATTTTATATATATATACACACATATATGTATTGATAATACTGTATTTAAATATAGAATTAGAGTGGTATGTACCTTCTTTCTCTAAATCATTCAATTTTGATTCATATAATCTTAGGGTCCTATTCTAATTTTAATATAGTCAAATTTAATTTTGGATAATTTTTTCAAATTATATAGCCTACATCTCTGCCTTGTGAAGTTGTATTTAATATTTTGCTATTAATTATATTAATTTGTGGAGTTACATAAGTTAACGATGATCTGGCAAAAGTTTTTAATTTTGGCATCAATTTATTAGTTTTATTAAGAAACAGTAGTGATTTTGGTAGGTGAAAAAAAAATATATATTTTATTATCGATATTTTAAGACTGGTTTAATAACTATATGTTTTAGTTTAAAAATTAAAAAAAATATTATAAATTATTATATTATTTTTTTTATTTTTTTACATATTTTTTTATAAAAAATTACTAAAATATCTTGTTTCTAAACTAGTCCTTAAAATTAAAAATATAAATACCAAAAAGGCACGCGAGGACCACGAAGAGATGCTTCTTTCCTTCGCTCCCTCCCATCAAGTGGGGTTCCAACCAAACAGGAAATTAACGAACCGAAATATCTATCACCTAGTCCCGTGGCATAAGGGTAATTTTGAGAATTCAATTATTCTAAGGTTCGTTTGGCAACTTAATTTTTTTGATTAAAATACATAAAAAGTAAAAATTAAAAAAAAAATAATATGAAAGCTCAAAAGGCAGTAAAACAGTAAAAAAAAAAATTAATAAAAAAAAATCAAAACATCTCAATAATTCATGTTTTTCAATACAATTAAAAAGAAGTAATTTTCAAACCCATTAATTTGTTGTCACTTCATAAAAAAATTTAAAAATTACTAATTTTGTTAAAAATTATTGAAAAAGCCAATTTTCAAACAAGGCCTAAAAGTAGTGATGCTTTATTTATTTTATTTTATTTTTGTGTGGGAATTTTAAAGATATTTGTGAAAAAATTATGTTTGGAATGGAAAATAATAAGCCTGCTGCACCTCTATCGCTAATGTTGTGATTCATTGTTTTTAATTAAAAATATATATTTGTCACAAGATACATATTCAAAGCTAAAGTCTTATCTCTAATTATTTTTTTGTCTCTCTCCTATGACAAATGAAAAATAAGAAACCCGTTAAATCGCATAAAAATCACGTAAAAAGTGCAAAGGTTCACATTAAATATGCATGATCTCTAATTTGTAATTCCATTATACAATACAGGAGGGGTAACTTCCATGGATGATTTCTTGAAGAAATTCTTCCCGGTGGTATATCGAAGGACTAAAGAGGGAAATCTTGATAGCAATTACTGCAAATACGATAATCAAGGGCTACAATTATTCACATCATCACTATACTTAGCCGGTTTGACATCGACCTTCTTCGCATTTTCATCTCTCTCTTCATTACACGTTTTGTTCGCTTCTTATCCAATCCAACCATACGAGAAGACATTAACACCCATTCTCTGTCTCTCTCTCTCTACCAAGTTATGGCAGGGGGAGGAATTTCGGCCGGAGGAGGAGGAACACAGTTCGAGGCGAAGATCACCCCCATAGTCATCATCTCTTGCATTATGGCCGCCACCGGAGGTCTCATGTTCGGTTACGACGTCGGCGTTTCAGGTTCCTACCTACTACTTACATTTCATACCACTTTTATTACTACTACTAGATTATTTAGAATGATTTAAATAAATATATTTTTAATTGTATCAGTCTTTGATGATTTCTTGGTATTGCTTGTCGTATGTATACTATGAAGCTCTTGATACATGCTCAGCCCGAATAGAACAGCATGGCAGACATGTCTTCTCATGCAGTCGTTGATCTGCTAATCAGGCTGCTCATTGAGTGTCCTCTATTTGCATAAAAAGGCTCTGTACTTTACCTGCAAATTGGGTTTTTGATCCCACTCGTTCCTTGCAGCATATTCTTTTCTTTTCTTTTCTTTTCTTTTCTTTTCTTTTCTCTCTTTGCATGCCAGCAGCCCTTTTTTTTTTTTAATGTGACTTACTATTTGTATGTTCAGTAATAAGAAAAATAAATTGCCTTCTGAGATGAATCTCAATTGCACAATGTTTTTTTCTGGTCCATTCAATTGCTATATTTCTAAACTATAATTTTTGTTTCCCTTGCAACCACAGGATCAAAGGAGGATGGGGTTGGAGGGTGTCACTGGGTTTGGCCGGAATTCCCGCTGTCCTCCTAACCGTGGGAGCCCTCTTGGTGGTTGACACCCCCAACAGCCTCATCGAGCGTGGCCATCTTGATGAAGGTAAAGCGGTGCTCAAAAGGATACGCGGCATTGACAATGTTGAACCTGAGTACTTGGAGCTTGTCGAGGCCAGCCGTGTAGCCAAACAAGTCAAGCACCCCTTCAGAAACCTCCTCAAGAGGAGGAATCGGTCCCAACTCATCATCGCTGTGGCCTTGCAGGTTTGTTCTTCTAACAATTCTCTATACTAGTTTCCTAGTTCAAAAACTATGCAGTTGAGAGTGTGTCAATCCATTATAAGTAAGATTTATTTGATATCTGAATTAAAAATTAAAATATAGAGTAATAGTACAAATCCTAAATGTCTCACATAGGACTCACATACGAATTCCATATCAATAAAACATTGAAATCCCTAACAATTTTCTAAAATATATGATTTGCTGTGGTGAGAGATCTTATTTTCAAATCTGATGATGAGTAAGAATTATTTGATATATAAACATGATTTAATTTTTCATTAATTTTAAAATTTTAAACAAATCAAATTACATAACCATTTTTTTGGGTAGAGAAGATCTCAGCCCATTTGGTAAACATAAATCTGTTTTAATGACAGTTGTAAGTAATTTAAGTTAAGTTTGAATCATAAATTTAAATAAAAATTGAAATTGTGTTTGAATACATTTTACTCATTTTTTCTCTTTTCTTTTGAGATTCCTATTTAAATATGCACAAAGAGATTTTATTTGTACATTTTGCTGATTTTATGGGCTTTGATAGTAGATGATGATTTGCTGGTTCCTTCATTTTTGTCAAATTTCAGATTTGATGAGTGTATTTTTTTTTTTGGATAAATTTTTGAATGAATTTATTTACAGGCAGTACCACTGTTCCTATCAGAGATAGCACCAACAAGAATACGTGGAGGACTTAATATTTTATTCCAACTTAACGTAACCATTGGCATTCTCTTTGCCAACCTTGTTAACTACGGCACTAGCAAGTAAGTCCTTCATTTCATATAGTAATGGTCCCCCCCTAAGTAGAAATCATAAACAATTTTTTCAATTTGGCATCAATTTATTTAAATTATTTTTATATCATAAGTTGTATGCAAAAATGCTTTACATATTCTTACACAAAATCAAAATAAATAAATGGAGTTTCGTCAATTTAATCATTATAATTCTTATTGCATCAATTTTATCCTTAAATTTAACACATTGTATCAGTTTAGTTTAATTGATAGGGCACATTTTAAATTAAACTAAAATCAAGGAGTAAAATTAGTCATTTACTCTTCTCAAAGTGATTGAGAAGTAAACCATCCAATTTGAAATGGTATATCCCCTTTTAAATGAACTATTTTGCTCTTCTTTTTTCTTTTTTCTTTTTTTGTCTAATTTGTTAGTGTATGTTCTCAATCACATTAGATTGACACAATATGAAAAAATTAAGGACAAAATTGATACAATTGAAACTATATAAATCAAATGGACAAATGAGACAAATTACACGAACCATCTGTATAATTTGTCTCCAAAAAATTCCCTTGGCAAATTGATAAGTTGCACTAATTAAACGGAATGGAGAGATTATTCAGATTCATCTCTGTTTCCCCTGTAATTTTGATTGTTTTGTTTTATACCTTAAAATAGAAGTATTTATAGAGTATGATCTTCAAATTGATTGGGCATTAACTGTACATGTGCATCCATATACAGTGTCACAGCTGGTTTATGAGATGATGTTTGCAAATGTTGATAGGAATTAAACAAACAATTTTTTAGTCCAAAATCCTTAGGTTTGTGTTGACTTTTCATGCCTAACTAACTGCCATATTCTCCAACGATAGGGTTGTGCTGTGACACAAGGGTCCCTCATCAATGCCTCAAAGTCATGGCAGGCTGGTCCACCTTTTGAAATATCTTACATAACAAAGATTTCATACATATGGATATTTTTAGTGTAATTATTTTTAAAGTTAAAATTTGATAATTAAAAAATATTGATTAAATTTTTTATTTACTTCTTAGTAATCATTTTTATTTTTTAAATTTACTTTAACAAATTTTGCATTTGATTAAAATATATATATATATATATATACAGAATATGACTTGTACCAAATAACCCAGCAAGATTTATATATGTTGGTGGTAGGTAATAGGTAAACTCAGACTTATATATGTTTTAGGCTTCTACCACTACCCTACAAGTGTTTTATTTGGATAGCCAAGGGTTTGGTGGCGAGGAATACCAAGTAGAAAAACGTTTTTATGTAGATGACTTAATTAACCTTCCCAAGATAAGATGAAGGCTTACATACTAAATGAGAAATTTCAATTTAAAAAATAAAAAATAAAAAGATGGGGGGACATAATAGGGGTGTTTGGCAAGAAAAAAAATAGTCTAGATTAGGTTAAAATTCACAAAAAGACAAAATAGATTAAAATAGTTAATAAGACAAAATATCACATCAAACCCATAATCATTTCACTTTTTCTCTCACAAATATCACATCCAACCACAAAAAAATCTAATCATCTTCTCAAATACAAAAATTGCCAATATTTTTATAAAAAGATTTTTAATACATAAATGAACTTTTATTAGTTTTTTTTTTTTTTTTGGTGGTCTCAAGGAACAAAACACAGATTTTACATGTATTTTTTTTTATGTGACTTACTATTTGTATTTTCAGTAATAAGAAAAATAAATTACCTTCTGAGATGAATCTCAATTGCACAATGTTTTTTTCTGGTCCATTCCATTGCTGTATTTCTGAACTATAATTTTTGTTTCCCTTGCAACCACAGGATCAAAGGAGGATGGGGTTGGAGGGTGTCACTGGGTTTGGCCGGAATTCCCGCTGTCCTCCTAACCGTGGGAGCCCTCTTGGTGGTTGACACCCCCAACAGCCTCATCGAGCGTGGCCATCTTGATGAAGGTAAAGCAGTGCTCAAAAGGATACGCGGCATTGACAATGTTGAACCTGAGTACTTGGAGCTTGTCGAGGCTAGTCGTGTAGCCAAACAAGTCAAGCACCCCTTCGAATTCCTGCTATCCTCCTAACCGTGGGAGCCCTCTTGGTGGTTGACACCCCCAACAGCCTCATCGAGCGTGGCCATCTTGATGAAGGTAAAGTGGTGCTCAAAAGGATACGCGGCATTGACAATGTTGAACCTGAGTACTTGGAGCTTGTTGAGGCCAGCCGTGTAGCCAAACAAGTCAAGCACCCCTTCAGAAATCTCCTCAAGAGGAGGAATCGGCCCCAACTCATCATCGCTGTGTTCTTGCAGGTTTGTTCTTCTCACAATTCTCTTTACTAGTTTCCCAATTCAAAAACTATGCAATTGAGAGTGTGTCAATCCATTGTTTAACATAACATTACTAGTGTTGGCACACGCTACATGTACTCGAGTAAAACAATTAGATAAGCAATTACGAATTAAAACAATTAAATAAGATAGAAACTGTTCCAATAGTTACAGTGTGCGCCGGACTTTGTGTACACTATATAGGTAGATAAAAAGGGTACCTCAATTGCAACAAATCAATTTATAATTTGCAATACTAATTCATGCAATGCTTTCCACAGATCTTCCAACAATTAACAGGCATCAACGCTATCATGTTCTACGCTCCAGTTCTCTTCAATACGCTTGGATTCAAAAACGACGCCTCCCTCTACTCCGCGGTCATCACCGGGGCCGTCAACGTCATCTCCACCGTCGTATCAATCTACTCAGTCGACAAAGTGGGCCGCCGCTTCCTCCTCCTCGAAGCCGGAGTCCAAATGTTCCTCTCCCAATCAGTCATAGCCATAATCCTAGGCTTGAAAGTCAAGGACCACACTACCGACCTCCACAGTGGCTACGCAATCTTTGTTGTCATCATGGTGTGCACTTTTGTGTCAGGCTTCGCATGGTCGTGGGGCCCGCTGGGCTGGCTTATCCCGAGCGAGACGTTCCCGCTGGAGACCCGCTCAGCAGGCCAGAGCGTGACGGTATGTGTAAACTTGCTGTTCACGTTTGTGATTGCGCAGGCTTTTCTTTCGATGCTCTGCCACTTCAAGTTTGGGATTTTCTTGTTCTTTTCGGGTTGGGTTTTGGTGATGTCTTTCTTTGTGTTCTTTTTGTTGCCGGAGACGAAGAACGTGCCTATTGAGGAGATGACGGAGAAGGTGTGGAAGCAGCACTGGTTGTGGAAGAGGTTCATGGATGATGATGATGAAGTGGCGGTAGAGATTGGGAAAGTTGATGGTGCTGCAAAGAAAAATGGTCATAGCAATGGATTTAACCATGCGTCACAGTTGTAGAACTTGAAATTGAAGCTATTAAGGAACATTTTGTGGTAGACTAGAAGGGATACTTGAAATAAATGAATTGATACACATGTTTTATCAGTTATATTGTTGTGTATAGTTTCAATTTAGTTTCCAAGACCATTAAGCTGTTTTTTTTTTTTTTTTTTAAATTTATATTGTGGGTCCATGTGTCTTGAGCTAGGAATGCAAATGACAGAAAATTTAAATAGAAAATAGGAAATTTTACAGAATTTTCATTTTTTTTTTTTTTTTTTTTACAATATGTGGTGGTAACATTTTTAAAAATATAAATTATTTTGATGAGTAACTTTTGAATAATTTTAGATGTTTGCAGCAATATATGAATGATAGGAAAATGATATGGGCATTGAGTTTCATGGGTAGGATCCATTACATGGATTCAAGGGAATATGGCAGCGTTAAAGGCAAACAATGAAAGTCAGAATGAAATATAAACACAAAATATTCCTATAAGATCCAATGCTCTCTCATTTGACATTTCCTCGCAATCTTTTAGCTTGAAATTCTCATTTCTTCCATTAATTAGGCAAATAGAATCATATATATGCCAGCCCTGTGTACCTGAGTCTCAATCCTAAACCACAAGTTTTTAAAATTCAGATTTGCTGCAATATTCACTACCACATTTAAAGATTTTAGGGATTAAATATTTTCATACCTGAAAGTGAAAAATTTAGTGTAAAAAAACATTAGAAGATCAAAAGGTCAAACAAATGGACCTTTAGCTACAAAATTTTAAAAATGCTACTAATAAATGCAGAGAAAAAAATAATTTTGTGCAAAAAATGTATACATTTTCAGACTGAAATTTTGGTCCCAAAAATGATTGTAATTTATTACTAAATATTTAATTTTATTAATAAAATTACAAAATAATAATTTTAACAATTAAGTATTTCGTCTATAAAAAATAATTTCCTTCTTAATTTTTTGCCTCTAAAACTAAAAATGTAATTTGTTATAGTGATTTTATAAAGTAAATTATTAATTCGTTTGCAAAACAGAGTGGCCAGCCCAAAGGCCTTGAATTAATGAATGGATCAGCCCAACTGTTACTTATAATAAATTAGCCCAATGTGTAGCGCTGAGCCATAGCAACCCATTTCTGAATCAAAGAGATTTCAATAACCAACCCAAAGCCCAAACAGAAAAAAAAAAAAAAAATGAAAAGAAAAGAATTAGGCTTCTTCACCAATATATATGACCATACTTGGAGGCCACTTCCAAATTGTTCATTTTTCATCATCTCTCTCTCTCTCTCTCTCTCTCTCTCTCTCTCTCTCTCTTGTTAGCACTGACAGGATGGTTTACCCACAACCACCTTTTAATATGTGACCACCTACGCCCCTACAACTATGAAATTATATATTAATTGATTGAGATATTTGCACCTACCTAAGTATGAGCATGACTACTTGCTCATAAAATGTGTATGAAAATGACCAATGTGAAATTGTCTGATCAAAGTGTAATGAATAGGCCTTGGGATAAAATAAAAGGGAGTGCTTGGATGTATAAGGTGTATATCATATGTATTTATGTAAATTTTTATAAATATGTGTAAGTTATTTTATGAAATCATGTAAATTTTTATAAATATACGTAACTTAACATATAAATTAACTCATAAAAATTTTAAAAATCACAACTTAAGTATATTTGTGAGAACTTATGCAATTTTGTGATATAACTTACGTATTTGTGAGAATTTACACAAGTACATATGATATGCACTTGCACACATAAGAATTATCCTAAAAGCAATTGCGCTGATAAAAAGAGTTGACTTGGTGTGTGACAACTCTCACCGCTGATTAGTGCTAATCTATGATTAAGCATGTTAAGTGACTGATTGACTGAAATTCTGAACTGATTGATTGAGTGTATTAGTTTAAATGCAAATCTATCTGTTTGACTGCTAAATGATCTCTTCATGTTTTATGTTTTAAACTGCAAATTGAAGACCTTATCGGCGGCTGAATCCGAAACTGATTAGTGCTTTATGCTAATTAAAATTAATGTGATTTTATGGTGAATTTAGTTGAAATTTGATTTGGTATGATTAAATTGGATTAAATAATGTTAAATTACATTAATTGAACTTATCTACTATCTTGCCACTTAGTGGGCCACTTTGTTAAACCTTGTCTAGAGCTTGATTTCATGTCATTTGCTCATCTTTGAGAGACCAAAACCGTAGGAGAGACTGAGAGAGGAGAAGTTTGGTTTCATCTAGAGATTTACTTGGAGAACTTGAAGAATTGAATAGTAGATTGCAATTGAGCTTCTATACCTTGATTTGGAAACTTGAGGTAGGTGACTCACCCTTTTAATTGTGAGTTTGAGTTGTTCTTGCATGATTCATGGTAAGGTTAGTGATTTAAGGCATGAATTAGCTTAATATGTTGAATTGAGTAGGAATTCATGCATGCATGTATACATTATTGAGTTTTGAGGTTGTTTTCATAGAATCCTCACATCCATGTCCATATTCTAGCTTTGGTCCATGAATTCAGCATGCTCTTGGAAGGATTGGCTCATTTGTTCTTGTATTAGAAGCTTTGAAGTTGATTAAATTCATGCATGTTGCATGTACATCATGTTCTTGAAGTTTTGTTTGGAAATGGATTCAATTGAACTACCTTTGGGCGTTGATTTTGCAAATTGATCTTTGAAACATGTCATATTATGAGTTTTAAAGTGTTTTCCAGAAAATTAGCCCAAAAGGATCGAATTTGATGCTTTGAATGTTGAGTTTCATGCTTGGAAACAAATCTGAAAATTCCAGATTTTGGATCTACGCTCGAGCGAGGAACTTCACGCTCGAGCGTACACTCTAAGTTCATGCAGTCCGCTTGAGCGGGAAAGGTAACGCTCGAGCGTGAAATGCGTGTATCCAGTACTTTGCATGTGTTTACAGTCCGCTCAAGCGGGAGAATGCATGCTCGAGTGAGGGCTTGTGTCTCACGCTCGAGCGGGGGTCGAGTGCCCGTTGAGTATGAATTTCATGCATCCAGTATTTTTGCAGTCCGCTCGAACGAGGAAAGTCACGCTCAAACGGAGCTCCTTTGTCTGCATGTCCGCTCAAGCATAGAAAGCCACGCTCGAGCGAGACTCCGGTTTTCTGAAAATTTTGAAAAATGTTTTAAAGTACATCTTTGCATCCTCATTTCATCCTAGGCATTCCTAGGCCTAGTTTAAGGCATCTTAATGAGGTTATTGATGTAGAACCACACCGAGTCAAGATAAGGACTAAATTATTGATTCCCAAACGTGCAACTTAGTGTGTGTTCATCTTGTAACTGTGTAGAGTTGGCATCCGAGGACGCTCACTAGCCTATCTGTAACCCAAAACTCTGTGAGTAACAATATTGTAAAGATATGTTCAATCATGAATATTTTCTGAATGATCTACTGTACTGCTTTCTGAAATAATATTTCTTACTAAATGAATGATGTCCTATTAATGAACTGTACTCATGGTATCCATAGCAACTTACTGTTACTGTACTGCTACTGTTACAGAGATCTCTGTCGGTTCCCATGTTGGAACCACTACTGTTTACTGTTATGATGGCCATCAACTGACTGTTCGGTCTGTTAAGACCTACTGTACTGTTTGCTATTGGATATACTACTTATAACTGCTATGGTTTCTAAATGAGTGATATGACTGCTTATTGACTAAAAGGACTTTCATTCTTAACATTTTTACATAACTGTTATTCACTGGGCTTTAGCTTACTGTTTATATATATATATGTAGGTGTCCAAGCACCAGATCGGAGCTAGGAGCGTTGGGTTAAACTCCCTTTTTGTCAAGCCAACCAATGTGCCTCACTGTGAGGTTCCAAGTGTGTCCAAGCCAAGGCTGTTTCGGGGTGTTTAGATTCCCCCTTCCTGTCTCTATTTTGTAAAGACTGTATAGACTTGTACTGTACTGTTATGGTAGGGATTTGGTCCCTAACCTGAATGCCTGTATATGATATATGTACATACTGCTTTTGTACTGAATGTGAATGTGTTATGAAAAGTCTTTTGCATACTAATTGTCACAGCTCATTGGACATCTTTTATTACTGTTTTGACTTCCGCCAGCCCATGTACTCTGTATTACGGTTATTACTGTTAAGCAAGCCTTCAGTAATCACGGATTACTGGCCGGTTACGGTGCTAAACCCATAGGGGCGGGTTTGGGTCGTGACAGAGTGGTATCAGAGCGATATCAAACCACGAGTTATACTGCACACATGTGTCCAAATGAGCTATAGGATGTCGTAGAAAAGTGAATAGGGCATTGCATGAGCATTGAAAAAGTATGTGTGGCCATGACATGAATATATGTGCTAACATGTTAATATGTTTAAAGTATGCAACTGCCTATATTTATTATTGCCATAATTGTCTATAGTGAAATGGAGAATGCAAGAACTACTGATGAAACTGAATCATCTGACGCCAGAATGGCAAGGCTAGAAAGAACAGTTGAAATGTTGACTGAGGCCTTGAGGCTACAACAGAACCAACAGCCCTCACCTCCTCCGGTACAGCCAGAACCGAATATGAATGATGATATAATTGCTCTAATGCAGAATTTTAGTAAAATAAAACCACCGTCATTCCAAGAGGCCTCGAACCGCTGAAGGCCGAAGCATGAGTCCTAGAGACTGAGAAATTGTTTAAAGTCTTTCCGTGTTCTAAAGCACACAAAGTGCTACTGGCTACCTTCACCTTACAAGAAGAGGCCAGAAGGTGGTGGATGCTGGTCCGCGACACCAATACTGCCATGAATTGGGCTCAGTTTAAGGGAGCCTTCTTTGAGAAATACTTTCCACAGTGTGTCAGGGACCGAAAAGTGACTGAATTTGAACAACTGAAACAAGGCACTATGTCCGTAGCTGAGTACGAATCGAAATTCACTGAACTCGCCAGATATGCACCACATATGGTGGATACCGATTACAAAAAGGCCAGGAAGTTTGAAGGTGGCCTTAATGTTGAAATCCTTGACAGAATCAATGTTCTGAATCTACTGAAATACGTAGATGTTCTTGACCGAGCAATAATGGCTGAGTCGAACATCGAGGCACTGAAACACCAGCGACCGA